TTTGTCTTTGGAGAGAGTTTGTCTTCAGAAAATAAGGTGACATTTTCTACAGGTGTAGGAGTCTTATGCATACTTGCACAAGCTAACAAAATACTAACTCATATGGCATCATCTGTAAATAAATTATGTTCTTACTCGAACCCTTCCATTTTTATGATCATATTTCTTTTTTTTTTTTTTTTTTTTGTCAATAGTGTGAGTTTTAAGAAGACAACAGTTGGAACCAAATCACATTTTCTTCTCAAACAGGCAATGAATTTAAGTCCTGCTAAATGTGGTGTTCCTCTGCTGCCACCTAGTGGTCAAACAGACRAATGTCTCGTTCAAAGAAATAAAATATTTTTCAACACTGACCTCAACACATGTAGATAATTTAAAATTAAACTGTGTAGTGCAAAATGTCTGCTTTGATAAAGTTATGCTGTATTAAATAATAAAAAGATGTGAAGTAACATGTTTTAATGGATTTTTTGTTGTTGTAGCAACACCATACTAGGAATTAAAGTCTAAATTAAAACACTTGAACACAGAAAAGCCAGAATAGTCAGCACACTCCTCATGTTCATTTCMTGGAGCGAAGAAAAAAAAACTAACCAAGCACACATTTAGAAATTTAGACAGCAGATAATGTAACAGTAATGTACAGTTGATTATTAACTGGAAGGGAAAGTTTTATTTATGACACACTGCTCAAGAAGTTTACAAGGAGGATTCATTAGGATGTTTGAAAAACGTTTTTGATGTTTATTGGGTAAATGGAAAAGGAGCATAGTGAATGCATGTGTGTAGCAGTTTGCAAAAATAAAACACATTCCTGACCTTTAGGTTTATAAAGTGCACCCACTGCAGCCAGGTGGTGAGGAAGAGGCCTTTGCAAACTGCACAACACCTGTTGGCCRTCAGGGCTGAGAGGTTTGGATAATGTGGGAGCATGATGTCAGTCAGAGAGCTCACACAGCTAAGATAAACAACTTCTTGAGGATGTTCCCACAGTTTATTGTCCAGCAAACTGAGATCCTGATGTTACCTCAAGCTGATTTAGACCGAAATGTGTTTTTCACTTGAAGTAGGGCTTTCTAAGAAAAAACATGACAGTCATCAGGAATTATTTAAGGATTGTGTTACTCACCTGAAACTTTAAGGACCTACCTGTCACATCAAGTGATACTGTAGCAATTTGATTGCTGAAAAGATACAGTTTTGTCAGGGACTCCAAATGGACCAAAACACAAGGAACCTCCTTCAGAGCATTATTTTTTTTTTAATTTAGTTTGGACAGCTAACGAAGAAAGGGGGAATCTAGATAGTTTGACTAAGGCTGCGCTTTTTTGCACAAGAGATCTTGGCCTCTACATCGCCCGCTCCCCTGCTGTGAGCCACATACTGTCTATTAATATGCTAAAGACCCACAGCTAACCCTAACCCTAACCACAGCTCACCTACATATCCCCCCTCGACCCAAAACTCTGCAGACATGGCTGAGGGAATCAAGATACATAAATAGGAATTGGCAGCAAGTTTTATTTACAATATTAACAAAAAYAGCTTACACAAGCAATATATGCATTTCTACATTTGCGACAGGTATATTTCTTGCAAACTGCACACTGTTTTGTGGTGCAAATTCTTTTGCAGTGTCTGAACCTGACACTGCATCATCTTTCCAGGACCAGGCTGGGGACGTGGCTTTTTCATCATGGCCTTTTCCAGCATAAAACGCTGTCGAAATTCCAGTGCAAGGCCATATATAATCTCTTCTGCTCTCTTTACAATTTTTTACTGTAGCTCTGAAAATGCAGTAGCATCCAGTTATGTTCTTTGCAACACACCACATCTTCAGAGCAAAAACTTGTAAACAGGAGCCCTTGAGAAACAGAGTGAGAATATCATCGTGCGGGGTGGGTGTGGCTGGACCAGCTGAAGGCATATGTATAACWAAAGGCCACTAATAGCCCTCAGATTGCTAAGCAGAAGGAGGGGGKTTGTCCTCAGGATCTCAGTTTCTATGTTTTCTAAGTGATTTCTTAAATATTTCAGGTGCTGCCAAAATTTCCAATGATTCATTATTGTAACGTAAGAAGCTGAGCAGGGAAGTGATGAAGCTGTTGCTCAACGGAAGGAGCAACAGTTTTTTTTAATATGCAGACACACTCGATTTYTGTTTTATTTTAATTTTAAAAAGTTGATTTGTAAAATGAAGCTCGAATTACTAAATCCCTGACTGTTGACTGAGTAGCCATCATGCTAAATGAGGATCAAACAGGAAGTGGCTACTGAGCAATTAAACGCTTGCATATACATATATAT